GGTGTATAATAGGAAGCCGGATTAAAGTCCATGAATTATTTATTAATTTGGTTCGCAATTGTTTAAGTAACTTTGCAAAAAATAGCATGATGGAAGAAGCTAAAACTGTTTTGCTTCAGGTTCTTTTGACTAGACGACTACATTATAAGTTTGAACGACATCAATATCAAAACCAACAGTTTCAGGTTGTTCGCCGGTTACCAACTGCTTTAATGCCCTATTGACCCTGGGATGATAATAACTGCTTTTCGCGATTGCTATCAATCGTATCGCAGATTTTCTAAATTTTTGTATTTTGGCTTAAGCTATTCAGTATTGTATCTCTTATATTTCTTGTAGGCTCCGTTTCGCATCAATATTTACAATAACTGTTTAATTAAGGATAATGTGAACTTTTCTATATTTTTATACGTACAAGACATGCACATTCTCGGGAGAACATATGTATATCTCTTAAAATGCATCAATAGTGGGCAATTGGTTGTTGGTATTTTTATTCAACATTCATATTGAGCATAATATTTGATTGAATTTTTTAGCGTCTAAGTTTTAACATTTCTGTTAACTTACAATTTAACATTATGTTATTTATAGGCAGACATTAACAAGTCCTATCACTAGAACAATTTAACATTAAAAAAGGTAAACAAGTTTACCGCTGTTACCAGGCACAGCTGTTTAAACAATTGTGCCTTGCAAATGGTAAGAAAAAACGAAATTTAATTGTAATTATCTTATATTTATGCTGCATAGTTTTCTTTTCAGGTTGTCTTCATGCTGCATTGCTGGAGAAGGTGGGCAGTATGCATCTTTGCACTCTTCAGACGGCGTTGAGCAACATGGCCAATTTGACCATAGCGACTGCTTCAAACAGTGAGTAGCTGTGTTTAAATAATATTTAATTCAAACATACACCCTTGCAGATCATCCTTTGTTAAAGGCCAAGCTTGTAGCGGCTGCTGCCACCATGTCGTCTGTTCGTCATCCAGCGGAATATGTTTTGTAGTCTGACCAACTGGAGTCGCCATGTTGACCAGCGCTGATTTAAGTGCCACAAATTCGCACACAAAGTGCGCACGAGCAGTTGTCGCCAGAGTTGCTGCAGAGTTGCTGCAAACGTGCTAAGCGCTGTCGTCTGGTAGTATGCAACAGAAAATAGTTTCTTATCGCATGCCTTCTGTCTCTAAATCTTTGTTGCAGTTGCCGTTCGACCAGACGCCATTGAAGTGGGAGCTGCTCTTGTCCAGTTGACTGATTTGTGCGCTGCATGCGCCTAAACGGGACACTGATGACAAGTTCAGCAAATGCCTCGCCATATTGCACCTGATATGCCGACGATTGCGTGCCTCACAGACGAGCTGATAGCCGGCGCCGCATTGGTTGCCTGTGCTATTGTTGTGTTTGTGTGAGTGCGCGTCGTCGGGGAAATGTTCATTTCGATGTGTTTGGCCGCTGCAGAGTTAGCTGGAAATAAAAATACTCGTTAGTGGCACGGCTTCTCGCTGTGCTAGTGACATATCGAAGTACGCTTGCATTGCCAGACGTCTTGCTTGTAGTTGCTCTTCTATCCGCTGTAGTGCCTGTTCTCTTTGCGCATATATTTGTAGCGACTCTTGATATGACCGATGCGCCTCCTGTCTGTCTAGCTCTTCTCTTTGTTGCCTCTCTATTCGTAGCTGCACGCGTAGCCGCTATTCTGCTTCTCGTTGTTCGACGCGCTGTTGTTGGTAACTTCTTTGCCTATTAAGGCGATCCAAAACGCTTTGCTGCAGAGCAGCTAGTGGTCGTTCAACAGGCCTTGCATATATGGGTAGGCGTGCCGCAATTTCTGCTGCACGTTGCTGTTGCTCTAATAGTTGCTGCTCACGCTGTCGCTGCACATGTGGCATATGTCTTTGTAGCATTCGGCTGTATCTTTCCCTAGCTAGACGCTGCGGTACATATGGGTTTGTTGCTAGATTTTTAGCCAGAAAGTTGCTGTGATTTAGAAGGCGCTGCACATATTTGGTACATGACTCGTTGTAGACGTCATCTACGCTTGCAATCTGCAGATCATTGCTTATAGTGCTATTGCGCACCTACAATCGATCTAAGAATTTTGTTTTGCATAGCCTGTATGCGATCCACTTGTGTTTGAATTGCAAGTGGCCCCCAGACGGGCAAGGTATATTTCCAGATTGGCGAAAAGCTGCTAATAGATGATAACTTTGGTTTTGAGGGGTAGTTGGCTGGTGCTATCAATCAGGCATTGCATCTTTTTCCACCTCGTTCTAAATTTGTTAACTACAGCAGATATGTGCCTATTAAATTGCAGCTTTGTATCCAATTGTACACCAAGTGTTCGCAGCAGAACGCCCTCTGAATAATATTATATCTGAATTACAATATATCTTTACTTCTCAAATCACGATATTGAAGTCACATACTATTATTTTTAAACCACCATAAAATACCATTGTAAATTGCTCACCACTAATCTATCGATAGTTGTGGTTGAAAGTTCGAGAAGTAAATCACGCATTATAAGCAGTCTAAAGGCTCCTTTGATTTTTATTAAAATTTATAAAACATAAAAGGGGCCGAAGTGGGGTGCAAACTAGCATCTCCTCAAAACATTGCTGTCACGTCGGGGTCACCACAATAGAGCAAAGCGGTCTTGAGTTCAGCATTGCGGATATTTGACAGATGAGAGTTCGGAATTCGTGGAATGAGAGAAGAGAATTTCCAACGACGCGGTAAAAATGATATTTTGCTGACTTGACAGCGGCCTCCCACAATCCTCCAAAATGTGGCGAACGGGGCGGAATGAATTTCCAGTTGATTCCCAGAGCTAGGCAGTTGCGAACAATCTCATTGCGCTGGGGATCGCTTATAAACAGGTCGCGCAGTTCCTTCAGCTCATTTCGAGCACCCACGAAATTTGTGGCGTTGTCTGTCCATATTGTATGCGGTTTCCCTCGAAGGCTGATGAATCTCTTCAAGGCAGCGATAAACGATGACGTGGACAGGTCCTCTACCAACTCTAAATGCGTTGCTTTCGTTGCAAAGCATATAAAAATTGAGATGTAGCATTTCGTTGGTGAGCGATTCCTGACCTCTGATTTGACGTAGAAAGGACCGCAAAAGTCGATGCCAGTTACGTGAAACGTCGGACTTGGCTGCACACGCTCAGCTGGTAGCGGGGCCATGACTTGCTCCAGAAGTTTAGGTCGCATTCGAAAGCAGCGCACGCACCTGTTGATGATATTTGAGACAGCCTTGAGACCTCCGATGGGCCAGTATCGCTGGCGGAGTGTTGCTAGAAGGAATTGCGGACCAGCATGAAGAAATTCCAAATGATAATATGTGATCATAGCTGCGGTGACTGGGTGGCGTTTAGGCAACAATAACGGATGCTTTGCTTCATATTCCAAGTTTGAGTTCTGAAGGCGCCCGCCGATGCGCAAGAGTCCCTCAGCGTCCAACAGTGGGCACAATGAACGAAGTTTGCTTCTTGTTGGAAGCGGCCTTTTTAAGCTGAGTGCTTTGTACTCTTCGGCGAAGTGCGTAAGTTGAATGTTTTTTATAAGTAAATGCGTTCCGCACTTGATATCATCTGGAGTGAGTGGACCTTTTGAACTCGTCGAATCAGATCTTTTTAGCGCAATAAATCGATACACGTATGCGAAAGTGCGGTGTAACTTGGCAAATGTGTTGTTGAATTTACAAGATGCCGATAGGTCCGTCTTCGTTGATACTACCAGCACTTTCTGGCGTCGTTCTGGAAGCTCAAAGGGGTAGGCGACGTTTTGAGGCCAAGTCGAGCTAGCGGCCTGTATAAATGGGGGTCCATTATGCCATAGCTGTGAGTCTAAAAGTTCCAAAGGTGTGCATCCACGTGATAAAATGTCCGCAGGGTTCAGCTGAGAGGGTACATGATGCCAGGTCATGCCCTTGGTTCGCTCCTGTATTTGTGATACCCTGTTGGATACAAAGACGTTAAACTTTGAAGGTGATTCACGAATCCATGCAAGCGCTACTGTTGAGTCGGTCCAGCAATGATATCTGCATTCGAACTGAATGCACTTGGCAATGTTTCCTAAGAGCTCTGATAATAAAAGTGCAGCTGCCAGCTCAAGCTTTGGGATTGTCAGCGTCTTTAATGGGGCGACCCTTGATTTAGAGCATAGCAAATGTGATGAAAATAACCCTTGCATTTCGGATCTGACAAATACGCAAGCACCATAAGCGGCTGTGCTGGCGTCGCAAAATCCATGCAGCTCATACGTAGCCAGCGGCATCAATACAAAACGGGAGAATTTCAAGCTGCTGACAAATGAGAGTTGCGATATGAGTTTGATCCATTCGAAGTGCAGCGACTGCGACAGGCATTCGTCCCAATTGACCCTTTCCTTCCACAGTGCTTGGAGAAATACCTTTAACCTGGTAACGATGGGCGCGATCAATCCGAGCGGATCGTAAAATCTCGCTATCATTGATAATATGCTCCGCTTTGTGACTGGTCCTTCGGGTACGATCTCCGCAAAGTTGAAAAGCAGGCTATCCGAGCTAGGGCTCCAAGCTAAACCAAGCGTCTTTGCAATGTTGGTGCCATCCTTGAACTCCATTAGCTTCTCACAATCGGATTCGCTTTCTCCTTTTAATGCATCAGGCTCGTTTGAGCACCACTTTCTGATTGGAAAGTGACCTTTAGCCAGTAGCAGTTTTACTTGCTGTTGGTCATTGGCAGCAATGAGGACCTGAGTAAGATTGAGAAATTACAACATTTACGTGCGTGCTTGGATGGTGCTGCTCTCAACACAATCAAATCGTTAGAGCCTGTCGACGTGAATTACGACAAGGCGTTGGAGTTACTTATAAAGCGTTTTGATAATAAGTTGCTACATTTTCAGGGCCACGTGCGGGCTATAGTCGGGCTGCCAGGTGTTGAAAAGGGATCAGCAGAGGCGTTGCGTGAGTTGAGTGACAAAATTAACTCGCATCTTCGGGCGCTTAGCACCATGTCAACAACTGAGGAGCTGGCTGACGGATTACTCATACACACAATATCGCACAAGCTCGATCACCACAGCCAGGAAAAGTGGCAGGAAGCGCTTGCAACGGATAAGCTACCCAGGTGGACGGATATGTCGGCGTTCTTAGAGAAGAGATGCCGCATGATGGAAAACTTGAAAGGCGCTACGGCACCTACGCCTAGCCACCAGGTTACCAGAAATGTACAAAAATTGAATCGTAACACATTCATTGCATCCTCATCTAACAATTACCAGCAAAATTGTAATTTTTGCGACTCAAAAGAGCATTTTCTTGTTAAATGCCCGTTGTTTTTGAATCTGTCCCCAAGTTTGCGCCACAAGGAGGCCAAGCGATTGCATCTTTGCCTAAACTGCTTGCGCAAAGGCCATGGCTTGCAGCAATGTCGCTCAGGTCACTGCAGGCATTGTCAACAAAAACATCATTCGTTGCTGCACATGAGCCCCATCACAACTCAATCATCTGCCCTGTGTACCCCAAGCTTGCAGGCTGCAACCACGATCCAGCCTCACGCATCGTCTTCAAGTAATCCACCATCTTCAACTCTCGTCAGCACTGCTCTTGAATTCGCAACTGAAGCCACGAATGCCCAGCCTGTAGACTATGTGGTGCTTCCAACCGCCATCTTATATGCCAAGAGCCACTCAGGTGTATTCATACCCTGTCGTGCATTACTGGATTCTGGATCTCAACTCAACTTTATCACTGCTCGTCTAGTAAAGCAGCTCCAACTCAAAACTCATCATGCTGCCGTATCAATATCTGGTATAGGCGAATCAACCCTATCTTCTAACATGTCCACTGACATATCAGCGCAGTCACGTGATAGGAGCTTCAGCACATCATTTTCAGCAGTCGTTACTCGCACTATAACGGATTATCAGCCCCACTTTGGGTTAGACATCTCTGGGTGGAATGTCCCCAAAAACATCTCGCTCGCGGATCCAACGTTTTTCAAATCTCAAAGAATAGATTTATTACTTGGTGCCGGACTATTTTTCGATCTCATTTGCATCGGCCAAATTCGAATGGCGGATAACCTACCAACGCTCCAAAAGACCAAGCTCGGATGGATTGCGTCTGGCGGACTCTCTCGCGTACACAACAAACACACATCCCTTTCAGCCCTTTACCAGGAACCTAATCCATGGGAGGATCCACTGTCGGATATTGTAAAACGATTCTGGGAAGTCGACAATTGCTGCGGTACAACCCCTGCGCTCTCTGATGAAGACGCACTATGTGAGCAGTTATTTCTCCAAGGCTACACGCGACTAAAGTCAGGGCAGTATTCGGTTAGGCTTCCAGCAAAGCTCAGCTTCGACACGCTAGGAGACTCATATCAACGTGCTCTACGACGTTTCAAGTCGCTCGAAAACAAATTGGACAAAAATCACCAGCTGAAGGAGAGCTACTCTGCATTCATGCGCGAATACATCGACTTGGGCCACATGTCTTTGGCTTCCAAGCAGCAGCTTGTCCCACAATTCTATTTACCCCACCACTGCGTAGAAAAGCCAGATAGCTCAACCACCAAATTGCGCGTCGTTTTTGATGGATCAGCCAAATCCACGTCAGGCGCATCTCTGAATGATCTTTTGCATACAGGCCCAGCAATTCAACCCAAATTATTCAACATTCTAATTCAGTTTCGTTTTTTAAAGGTTGCCATGTGCGGTGACATCTGTAAGATGTACCGCTGTGTCCGAATAACGCATCCAGATCAATTTCTGCAATGCATCTTATGGCGTGATCACAAAAATGAAAGCATAAGGACGTATACCCTGGATACAGTAACGTATGGAACCAAACCCGCTGCGTTTCTAGCAATTCGAGCGATGCAGCAGCTGGCCCACGACGAAGAGCCTACCTTTCCACTAGCTGCAAAGATAGTTTGTCGCGACTTCTACGTAGACGATTTAGTTTCTGGAGGGGACTCTATACAAGAAGCCATTCAGATCCGACAGCAAGTAAAACTGCTACTGGCTAAAGGTCACTTTCCAATCAGAAAGTGGTGCTCAAACGAGCCTGATGCATTAAAAGGAGAAAGCGAATCCGATTGTGAGAAGCTAATGGAGTTCAAGGATGGCACCAACATTGCAAAGACGCTTGGTTTAGCTTGGAGCCCTAGCTCGGATAGCCTGCTTTTCAACTTTGCGGAGATCGTACCCGAAGGACCAGTCACAAAGCGGAGCATATTATCAATGATAGCGAGATTTTACGATCCGCTCGGATTGATCGCGCCCATCGTTACCAGGTTAAAGGTATTTCTCCAAGCACTGTGGAAGGAAAGGGTCAATTGGGACGAATGCCTGTCGCAGTCGCTGCACTTCGAATGGATCAAACTCATATCGCAACTCTCATTTGTCAGCATCTTGAAATTCTCCCGTTTTGTATTGATGCCGCTGGCTACATATGAGCTGCATGGATTTTGCGACGCCAGCACAGCCGCTTATGGTGCTTGCGTATTTGTCAGATCCGAAATGCAAGGGTTATTTTCATCACATTTGCTATGCTCTAAATCAAGGGTCGCCCCATTAAAGACGCTGACAATCCCAAAGCTTGAGCTGGCAGCTGCACTTTTATTATCAGAGCTCTTAGGAAACATTGCCAAGTGCATTCAGTTCGAATGCAGATATCATTGCTGGACCGACTCAACAGTAGCGCTTGCATGGATTCGTGAATCACCTTCAAAGTTTAACGTCTTTGTATCCAACAGGGTATCACAAATACAGGAGCGAACCAAGGGCATGACCTGGCATCATGTACCCTCTCAGCTGAACCCTGCGGACATTTTATCACGTGGATGCACACCTTTGGAACTTTTAGACTCACAGCTATGGCATAATGGACCCCCATTTATACAGGCCGCTAGCTCGACTTGGCCTCAAAACGTCGCCTACCCCTTTGAGCTTCCAGAACGACGCCAGAAAGTGCTGGTAGTATCAACGAAGACGGACCTATCGGCATCTTGTAAATTCAACAACACATTTGCCAAGTTACAGCGCACTTTCGCATACGTGTATCGATTTATTGCGCTAAAAAGATCTGATTCGACGAGTTCAAAAGGTCCACTCACTCCAGATGATATCAAGTGCGGAACGCATTTACTTATAAAAAACATTCAACTTACGCACTTCGCCGAAGAGTACAAAGCACTCAGCTTAAAAAGGCCGCTTCCAACAAGAAGCAAACTTCGTTCATTGTGCCCACTGTTGGACGCTGAGGGACTCTTGCGCATCGGCGGGCGCCTTCAGAACTCAAACTTGGAATATGAAGCAAAGCATCCGTTATTGTTGCCTAAACGCCACCCAGTCACCGCAGCTATGATCACATATTATCATTTGGAATTTCTTCATGCTGGTCCGCAATTCCTTCTAGCAACACTCCGCCAGCGATACTGGCCCATCGGAGGTCTCAAGGCTGTCTCAAATATCATCAACAGGTGCGTGCGCTGCTTTCGAATGCGACCTAAACTTCTGGAGCAAGTCATGGCCCCGCTACCAGCTGAGCGTGTGCAGCCAAGTCCGACGTTTCACGTAACTGGCATCGACTTTTGCGGTCCTTTCTACGTCAAATCAGAGGTCAGGAATCGCTCACCAACGAAATGCTACATCTCAATTTTTATATGCTTTGCAACGAAAGCAACGCATTTAGAGTTGGTAGAGGACCTGTCCACGTCATCGTTTATCGCTGCCTTGAAGAGATTCATCAGCCTTCGAGGGAAACCGCATACAATATGGACAGACAACGCCACAAATTTCGTGGGTGCTCGAAATGAGCTGAAGGAACTGCGCGACCTGTTTATAAGCGATCCCCAGCGCAATGAGATTGTTCGCAACTGCCTAGCTCTGGGAATCAACTGGAAATTCATTCCGCCCCGTTCGCCACATTTTGGAGGATTGTGGGAGGCCGCTGTCAAGTCAGCAAAATATCATTTTTACCGCGTCGTTGGAAATTCTCTTCTCTCATTCCACGAATTCCGAACTCTCATCTGTCAAATATCCGCAATGCTGAACTCAAGACCGCTTTGCTCTATTACAGAAAACCCGAATGACTTGGAGATACTTACGCCTGGGCACTTCATCTGGGGCAAAGCCAATGCCACTATCGACGAGCCAGACATAACTCACCTAAGCATAGGTCGCCTCAGCCGTTGGCAGCGAATATGTCACATGCAGCAATCATTTTGGAAGAAATGGAGTACATCGTATTTGTCGTTGCTCCAAGAGCGCGGGAAATGGCGATCGTCCAAGCAAAATCTTCAGGCCGGCAGCATCGTGCTGCTCAAGGAGGACAATGCACCACCACTCAGGTGGCCGCTTGGTCGAGTCGACAGCGTCATCACGGGTGACGACGGCATTGTGAGAGTAGCAGTCATTCGTACACAAAATGGTCTGGTCAAGAGAGCCATTGCCAAAATCGCCGTTCTGCCAATCGAGACCACATCGGTTGAAAGCTTGTATCTTCCAACGGGGGGAGCATGTTCGCAGCAGAACGCCCTCTGAATAATATTATATCTGAATTACAATATATCTTTACTTCTCAAATCACGATATTGAAGTCACATACTATTATTTTTAAACCACCATAAAATACCATTGTAAATTGCTCACCACTAATCTATCGATAGTTGTGGTTGAAAGTTCGAGAAGTAAATCACGCATTATAAGCAGTCTAAAGGCTCCTTTGATTTTTATTAAAATTTATAAAACATAAAAGGGGCCGAAGTGGGGTGCAAACTAGCATCTCCTCAAAACACCAAGATATGTGTGCACCGTTTTGTTAAATAGCGCTTGTCCACCTACATGCGCAGATTGGGCATTTGGCTGCATTTGGAGGCTACGTAGAGTGTGCATGACGTGTACCGTCTTGTTTGCGTTTATTGTGATGCACCATTTAGTGGCCCAAGCTGACAAGACTTCAAGATACTCGTTCATTCGATTGACTGCATCTGCCTGCGTTCTGCCTACTGTGAGTATGACGGTATCATCTGCATATGTTGCTAGAAATGTTTCTTTGCGGTAAATATACCTCACGTATCCAGTTGTTGGGCTTGTCGGCCCCGGAATCGGCATGTCAGCTGTATATAGCGTATAGAGCACAGGATCAAGTACGCTTCCTTGCGGCACTCCAGCCGCAATTTACTAAGTGTTAGATCGGATCCCACCACTGCATTCAACCATGAATGTTCTCTCGGCAAGGTAGTGGCAGACAACATTATATATAGCATATGGCAAGATCATACGTAGCTTATATCGTAACCCGTCATGTCATACTCTATCAAAAGCCTCTTGAATATCCATATATGTAGCAGCACAATACTGATTCCTTTCATATGCTTTGAGTATGAATTGCGTGACTCTGCCGATCTGCTGGTCTGCTCCGTGTTCGCTGCGAAAACCAAATTGATGTTTTGGAATAGCATCAATAAGCCCTTCTGATTCGTACATACGTCTTAGCAACAGGTGTTCGAATATTTTTGACAGGCCGGACATCAGACTTGTTGGTCTATATGAGTTTAGTTGCTCCTGTGGCTTGCCAGGCTTGGGAATCATAATGACCACAGCACGCTTCCATTTGCTAGGAAAGTAGCCCAAGCGCAGTATGCTATTATAAATGAGCGTGACATACTGAACAGCAGCTAACAGCAGAGCCTTTATAGTCCGATTGTCAATAGTGTCGAGTCCAGGAGACTTTTTACTTTTGAGCACCTTAATTTCTGCTGATACCTAAGCATCTGTTATTGGACGAAAATGCACATCTGCGTGCGTTGGGGGAAGCAGAAGTAATAGGCTTGAATCTCTCTTCTAAGTTTTAAGCAAACGCTTCCGCTTTTTCCTGTGTAGTTTTGCACCACACGGTACTTTCTGCTGCGCTGCTACCAAGTTGTATGAACTTTTTTACTGGCACATTTGCTTCTCCTTAGCTTCTTTTAGAGTTCTTCTGACCCGGTTTGCGAGACGGTCATAGATTCTTTTGGCTAATGGGTGTCGATTCACAAGAAAATGGCGTTTGAGCAGTCTTTTGGCCATAATCATCAATTTCAGAGATCTGCTGAGTGGACACTGGTTCTGCGCTTGTCCGCGATTTTGGATTGCGTGAGAATTTGTTGCACTTGTGCGGCTGCTCGAATATTGCGCTCAAAAATATCTGTGGCATCCTCGATATCTGCTGCTGTATGTATTTCTGTTTCCAGCAAAACATGTTGGTTAAGCCAGGCTTGAAAACGAGTGACATTCGCATTAAGTGGCAGTAGATAGCACCTTGACTTGTTGATTGCCGGGATTTCAAGAAGTTCGATTAACAGCGGGAGATGATCAGAACCAAGGTCGTGTGTAGCGCTTATTTGTAGAAGTTCTTGCTGCAATCCCTTATAAACGGCAAAGTCTATGGCTGACGGCAATTGTCTAGCATTGTTTCAAGAATTTCACAATTGTTTTGCTGAACGTACCTGAGAAGGTTACCACCTCTTCGACAGGATCTAGCATAACCCCACCAGTAACTTTTCGCATTCCAGTCTCCAGGTATGATGAACTTGTTGCCGAGCTCACGAAGAGCAGCAAACAAGTCATCTTCAAGTTCAATCAGGGGCGGGCAATATACTGCTGCAATGTTAATAGCAGACCCATTGAGCAGAGTAATTTTAATTGCAGTACACTGCATTGATATAGCGCTAGTGAGAGGGAGAGCGATATGCTGTAGACTGTGCTTGACCAGTATAGCTACGCCTCCTCGTCGCCTATTAGATGGGTGATGTGCTTGGTATGCGTAGTAGCCGTCTATCTTTATTTCGTCTGTGCCACGCATGTGAGTTTCAGCTATAATCATGATGTCAATTTTGTTCTGAAAAATAAATGCCTCCATTTCTAGCATTTTATTTCGCAAGCCACATGCATTCCATGAGGCAATTTTGAGCCTTTTTGACCTGCAATTTATGCTGTCTCATCGGACTGTGTTGGGCATGTGACTGTTAGACATTATGTTTGCTAGTAACTTGCTCCTTAGCCATTAAGCAGGATGTCAAATTGGTAAGCAAACTCAGAAGTTTATCTAGCTTATTTTCAACGTAAGAATTAGCTCCCAAACGATCTTCAGTCATTAAAGTGACGTTGACGTTGTTGTTGCTGCTGCACAGATATTAGCGGCTGCTGTTGTCGCTGTTGTGATCGCCTTCTTTGGCGACTGCGCACAGCTGGCAATGTTGGCTGTCCTAACTGAGCAAGTAGTAAATTGGCTTTAACAATGCTCTCAGACTCTTTTTGCTTGCAGGCATCCTTGAAGGCCTGACATCCTTTGAAGCTTGCCGCATGTGGGCCTTCACAATTAGCGCATTTTGTTAGATCTTTAGCTGTTATGCTACACTCAGTAGAGGGATGTTTGCCGCTACATTTGACGCATACGAAAGCACGCCTGCAGTAATTCTTCATATGCCCAAATTGTTGGCAACGGTGACATTGCACTATATCGGCAGAGCGCAGTGGTAGCTCAACTTTGACCTTCTGGCCGCAAAGCGTGTGGAGCGTTAGAATTTCGCTGTTATTTGCCTTGGGCTCCAATTTTACTTCGAACATGTCCATTGGCTCCCTAGTGAATCGCTAACGCTAACGAATCGGACATTGTGCCCCATTTCAGACAATTTTGTGCGAATCCAATCCCCCGGAGTGGTGAGATGTAAGTGGCGCATGATAATTTGAAAGCCGCGTTCATGCTTAAGTTGGTACGTATGGGAAGCAATAGAGTTATCTTGGAAATACTGTACTAACTTTCGGTAAGAATCTACGTCATTACAAAGCACTTGCAGACCCTGGCCAGCAGTAGGCTTAGTTGCATAAGTGCCTTCACCAATAACGTCATTAATACCTTCAAATAATGGCATTATTTCTGGGACATAAGGAAGAGTGGCGCTGGCTTAATTTTTTGTACTTTTGGTACAGGAGCCCTAGAGTCAGCTTCAGCAGAAATAGCAGCATTTACTATGGTGTTGTTGTTTACACTTGCAGCAGTACCATTTGGGGCAGGGGCATCAGATACTGGGTCGAGAACGTCGATCTGCATGTCGTCATCAGAGTGGTCTGTAACCCATAGTTCATGCTGTTGGGCGTTGTCAAGGAGATTTTCTAATTCGTCACTAAGCGCGACATTATTAGTGGGAGCCTGGCTCATATCGGCTCCCAGCATCTTGATTCGCTTGGCGCTGTTTTCTGGAATTGCATGGCGTTTAACAACCTTACCTTTGGGTTTGCTTTCATTACCAATTTTGGTCAGAAAGCCAGCAAGAGTTGATTTTTTAGTAGTTGCGGCTGCGACCGGAGCAACCTTTTTAGCAGCAGTTAAGCCTGCGGCACGCGAGATTCTGGGCGAATGATTTAGCTGCTCATCTTTATTTTTGTTGGCATCAATTTGCATTGGAGGGCGTCTCGACAACGCAGTATTAGCTGAGGATGGACCGCGTCCAGCTTTAATTAGCTGAATTTCAATATCAGAGTCTTCCTCATCAGAGAGTGTCGTGGTATGTTTATTATTATGTTGATGTTGTGCCATGTTAACAGTTTGAGAGGCATACGAAAAAATAAAGAGTCTGGTCTCACTGTTACTTAGCAATGCACGCACAATCGATATTTTCTGTTATTACATGTGTTTTATATCGTCCTATCGATAAGTTTTCATTTACGGCACTAGCACGAACACGGCTGAGCCTAGTGCCATTTGCCCTTTGCTGCACCGAAAAATGTAAAAACTTTTTATTAATTTGTTCTCAGCCAAAAATACGAAATTTTACAATTTTTTTTTTTTACGTGTACTGCGGACACATTGCTGCCATTTTAATAATTTTCCGATAATTTTTGATTTTTTTGACTTTTTGACTTTCCGATTTTGACTTTCCGTTTTTGACTTGACTTCCGTATGCTCGTTGACATACGCACACAACGGCACTCCTTGTAGCGTCTCTAGTTTGTATATACTGGATCCAACCGCCCTAACGACTCTGCACTTGGCGTACTTGTGGCAGAACTTGGCGTTGCGGCCTTTTGCGAAGTCACTCAGGATGAAGTTACGCTTGTATATCTCCTGTCCAGGTGCGTATGTTATTTCTCGGGACTTCAAGTTGTAACTTCTGGTCGCTTTTTCATAGGCTGCGTGCATAGTGTCATGTATCCTGGCCCTATAAATCTGGTGGTTATCGACACGGGCCAAATTCTGCACCTCCGTGTCGCTTACGGCTTTCAACCTGCTTGCCAATTTGTAGTCGGCGCCGTTCGTGAACATGTGCTGTCCGAACATGGCAAGTAGGGCGACGTTCCGCTGCTGTTGTGTATCGCGCTGCGTAGTGCTGTTGCTATTTCGGGTAGTTGTTTGTCCCATCGCGCATGATCGTCGCCGACATGGATCCGTTTTGCCGCTAGTACAGACTGGTTCACCTGCTTGGACTTGTATTGACATACGAGGCCAGTAGTAGAATTGGTTGACTCTGGCCAGAGTCTTTGCAATTCCCCCGTGCATCGCC